GGAGAGAGCGCAGTTGCTTTTACTACATTCCAGCTGTCAGGATCAGCGTATCAGTGGTGGTGGGCTTACGAGGAGGGTAGCCCATCTGATGTAGCTTCACTCACATGGACTCAGTTTTCAGAGATGTTCTTGAGAGAGTTTGTTCCCCAGACCCTTCATGATGCGTGGCGCGTGGCGCGTGGCGTGTGGCGCGTGGCGCGTGGAGTTTGAGCAGTTGCGCTAGGTTACTATGACAGTGTCAGAGTATGTTATCAAATTCAGTGAGTTGTCCCGGCATGCACCTGCCTTGGTCTCTACAGTAAGCGAGCGGGTCTGCCGATTCATCGAAGGGCTCAAATATGGTATTAGGTTCAGCATGGCTCAAGATTTGGATACATATACTCCATATCAACAAGTGGTAGAGATTGTGCGGAGGTTGGAGGGTATGCTAGGCCGTGAGATGGAGGACAGGGAGGCCAAAAGGCCTCAAGATTCTGGAGGATATAGTGGTGCTCATGGCCCAGCTGTAGCCCATCATGGTAGAGTCTATGTGAGCCGTCTAGTTCATTCATCACTTCCAGCTTCTAGTGGTGCTCCGGCTACTCCGAGGTCTCAGGTTGCCCATTTTGCTCAGACACTAGCTAGTGCACCTCCTGCATGAGGTGCCTTCAGCGGTCAATCTAGCCGACTAGGCCAGGGCCAGTTTTAGAAGCCACGCCCACTGATAGGTTGCTTTGAGTGTGGTAATACCCGACATATAGTAAGGGACTACCCCAGACTCAGGAGGGGTGCACCTCCACAGACTACTTAGGCTCCACGTAATCCACAGGGTCCTTAGACTTCTCAGATCGTGGTTGGTGCTCCAGTTGCCGCTCCACCTACATAGCCAGCTAGAGGTGGAGGTCAGGCGGGTAGGGGTCACCCTAGAGTGGGAGGCCAGGTCAGATTCTATGCTTTTTCGGGTAGGACGGAGGCGATCGTATCAGACGCAGTCATCACAGGTATGGTTCCGGTTTGTCATAGGGGTGCATAGGTCTTATTTGTTCTGGGATCCACTTACTCATATGTTTCATCTTACTTTGCTCTATATTTTGATATATCTCGTGATTCTTTAAGTTCTCATGTATATGTGTCCACGCCTGTGGGAGATTCTATTATTGTGAACCGTGTGTATCGGTCGTGTTTAGTTGTTATTGGTGGTTTTGAGACCAGAGTTGATCTATTGTTACTCAGTATGGTAGACTTTGATGTTATCTTGGGCATGAATGGATTGTCATCCTATCATGCTATTCTGGACTATCACGCCAAGACTATGACATTGGCTATGCCACGTTTGCCGCGGTTAGAGTGGAGGTGTACATTGGATTATATTCCTAGCAGGGTTGTGTCCTTCCTTAAGGCACAACGGATGGTTGAGAAGGGATGTGGGGCATATCTAGCCTTTGTGAGGGATGTTAGTGGTGATACTCCTATCGTTGAGTCAGTTCCAGTAGTGGGAGATTTTCCTGGTGTGTTTCCAGCAGACCATCCGGGCATGCCACCCAATAGAGATATCAATTTTGGTATTGACTTATTGCCAAGCACTCAGCCCATTTATATCCTATTATATCGTATGGCACCAGTGGAGTTGAAGGAGTTAAAGGAGTAGCTGCAAGAGCTACTTGATATGGGTTTCATCCGGCCTAGTGTGTCACCTTGGGGTGCTCTAGTTCTATTTGTGAATAAAGAGGATGGTTTTATGTGGATATGTATTGATTATAGATAACTGAACAAGGTTACAATGAAGATTAGGTACCCATTGCCATGCATTGATAACTTATTTGACCAGCTACAGGGTGCTAAAATGTTCTCAAAGATTGATTTGAGGTCAGGGTATCATCAGCTGAAAATTCAGGATTCGAATATTGCAAAGACTGCTTTCAGGACTCGGTATGGTCACAACAAGTTCCTTGTGATGTCATTTGGACTGACCAATGCCCCAGCAGCATTTATGTACCTCATGAACAGTGCATTCAAGCCATATCTTGATTCATTCGTCATTGTGTTTATTGACAACATCTTGGTGTATTCCAACAGTCGGGAGGATCATGAGCAACATTTGAGGATCATGCTCCAGACCTTGAGAGAGAAGAAATTGTATGCAAAATTCTCGAAGTGTGAATTCTGGCTCGATTCGGTGGCATTTTTGGGTCATGTGGTGTCGAGTGAGGGGATCAAGGTAGATCTTAAAAAGATTGAGGCTTAGAGTTAGCCCAGACCATCTTCAGCTGCTGAAATTCGGAGTTTCCTTGGTTTGGCTGAGTATTATCGCCGTTTTATAGAGGGTTTCTCATCCATTGCTGCACCTATGACCAGATTGACCCAGAAGGGTGCTGCTTTCAGATGGTCCGAGGAGTGTGAGGCGAGCTTTCAAAAGCTCAAGACTACTTTGACTACAACCCCAGTGTTGGTGTTGCCTACAGTTTGGGGTCTTACACTGTGTATTGTGATGCGTCACGTGTTGGCCTTGACACAGTGTTGATGCAAGACGGTAGGGTGATTGCCTACGCGTCTCGGCATCTGAATGTTCATGAGAAGAATTATCCTATCCACGACCTGGAATTGGCAGCTATTGTTCATGCCTTAAAGATTTGGAGGCACTACCTGTACGGTGTTCCATGTGAGGTCTATACCGACCACCGGAGTCTCCAGCATCTGTTCAAGCAGAAAGATCTTAATTTGAGGCAGCGGAGATGGTTAGAGTGTCTTAAAGACTATGATATCACTATCATGTTTCATCCCGGGAAGGCCAATGTGGTGGCCGATGCCTTGAGTCAAAAGGTAGAGTGTGGGTAGTTTGTCATATCTACCAGTAGCAGAGAAGCAACTAGCCATAGATGTCAAAAAGTGAACAAACAAATTTACTTTGAGAATAAGCCACTACCACGCCGCATGGGGCGCAGCGAGGAGCGACGCTGCAGTGTAGAAGTGGTCTATCAGGAAAAAGTTCGAGCTCTCTGGATTTCCCCAGAAGCGCGCTGCATGGGGCGGCACGGCGCGGTAGTGCAAAAATGTTAGAGTTATTTTCAAGTTCGGCTTGGAAAGGTTAGTTTCGTCCGGGATTGTTTCCACATGGTATAAATACACCAAAATACGATTTTGAAAGGATTTTGGACCTACGAAAGATTTAAGAACCAACCAAGGCAAAAAGACTCAAGAATTCATCAATATTTCAACATGCAATCGGTGTAATACGAGAGTTTGTATCGAATCATTAAAATTGATATTTTCTTTGTTTTTGAACCTTATTGAGATGTCATACTCCATTGCTATGGAGTAATTTCCATTAGGGCGTTGACAGATATGGTGTTTCGATAACTTGATTAGGGATTCGATTCTTGATAATTGTTAGAATTAATTGATGGAGCTTTAATTTATATTGTGAGTTATTTGTTATTTTGCTTAATCGAAAGACGAGTTTGATATTGAATTTCTTCACATCTTATGCTCTAGTTTAAATTCATGATTCAAATAGGTAATCGAAAGAGTCTCTTGAATTATTAATCGAACTAGAAAATAGGAAAATATTCGTGAGAAGTTACCTTTTAGATCATAACCATCATTTGATTGTTGCAACTGTTTACCCTGCTTCAATTGGATTAATTACTGAATTAACGTTTAATCAAAAGAGGAACATTAACTTCAAGTGCAATATGATTATCAGTTGAATTCGTGAGAATCAACCATATTATAGAGTGAATTAACTCAAGAATTGGATCCCGAGTCAGTTATCCTTCACCTATCTAGTCAAATACCCTTATCCCTCTCAGTGATATTTCTTCGTTGCTCATCTGCTGTCTTTTGTGATCAATTGTTATTTGCTTAATTTTTAGTAGTTAATCGTAGTAACAGTCATCAAATCAAGTGTTAATTTTCCTGGATAGTAATCAACTGGAGATTATTCGAACAATGTTTAAATCCAATCCATGTGGAAACAATAATTAATCTATACTATCTTTGACTAGCGAGCAATACTTTTGTGTTGTGTTTTGCACTCGTCAAATTTAGGCGCCGTTGCCGGGGATTGGGAATCAATAGTGTTTAAAATAGTTTTTAGCACTAATTCAAGAACCAAAATTTACTTTAGTGTATTCATGTTTCTCACTTGTGTGTGCAGGATACAGGTTTGGTTTCTCTAGTGTATGACTCGATCCTCTTCAAAGGAAGTGATACCCTACGAACCAGAGTTGGAGAAATACCTGCGACAACTAAGAAAAGAAAGAGACTTAACAGAAAAATTCTTGGGTCAAACTTCGACTCAAGATACCATGGCAAACGAAGAGAATGATGGAGTAGACTTAGATGCAAGAGAGGCAGCACAACAAGAAGCTACATGAAGAATTATTGATGAGACCGTCAACGATGATGGAAGTCAAAGATTAAATCTAAACCGACCCTTGGTTGAAGACCAGTTCGAGAATGCAACACCTAGGCTTGGAAGATCATTGGGTGACTATGCTAGGCCAGTATATAATCAAGGACTGTCAAGTGTCAGACCTCCACCCATAGCAGCAAACAACTTCGAATTGAAGCAAGGCTTTCTTCAAATTATCCAAAACAACTGCATTTTCAGAGGGAAGGTGAACGAAGATCCTAATACTCACTTGATGGATTTTGAAGAAATCATGAACACCTTCCAATATAATGGAGTATCAAAGGATGCAGTCTACTTAAGGGCATTCCCTTTTCATCGAAAGATGATGCAAAGAAGTGGCTTCGTAGCTTACCCACAGGTTCGATCAGCACATGGGAAGATATGACCAAGAAGTTTCTTGACAAGTACTTCTCAACTGCAAAAACAGGGAAGTTCAGAAGGGAAATCCACAATTTCTGCCAGAAGGAGACATAAATGATTTTCGAAGCTTGGGGAGAGATTCAAGGATATAGTAAGAAAGTGTCACCACAATGGAATTTATTTGTGGGGTAAAGAGCAAAAGGGCCAGAGTAGTGGGGTACAAAAGGAGATTCAAGAAAGTAGACATATGCCAGCTCAACAATTCCCTCAAAATATGAAGCAGGAGAAGCTTGAAAAATATTTTGGGCGATTCTTGGAGATGCTCAAGAAACTTTATGTAAACATTCCCTTCACAGAGGTACTCGCTCAGATGCCTACTTATGCAAATTTCTTGAAGGAAATCCTGTCTAGAAAGAGAAAATTAGAGGAAACAACAACGGTCAAGCTAAATGCCCACTCCAGTTCCATATTGCAAAATAAAATTCCCCAAAAGTGTGGGGACCCGGGAAGCTTCACCATACCATGCTCGTTAGGGAGTAAAAATTTTGACAATGCCCTATGTGATTCTGGTGCATCTATAAATCAAATGCCTCTGTCTGTATTCAGAAAACTAGAAGGTGAGCTTGGAGTGATCAAATCAATACCAGTGTCCCTATAACTGGCTGACCAAACCACCATTCTACCTAAGGGAATCATTGAGGATATTCTAGTACGGGTGGACAAGTTTGTTTTCCCCGCAGACTTTATTGTGGTGGATATGGAGGTGAACAAGGAGGTGCCTCTAATTCTAGGGAGGCCATTTTTATGTACATGCAGAGTTTTCCTTGATATCTGTGAAGGGCAGCTTATGCTCAGAGTGGGCAATGAAAAAGTGGTGTTCCAGATGAAGAGGATGATGAAATACCCAGTGATGAGGCGTCCGCCTACTCGTGTTTCAAGCTAGATGTTGTTGGAGAATTGGCTAAAAATTACAAGTTTGACAAGTTTGTAGGGGATACTCTAGAGAGGTGTATTACTCAGTCTAGCACAGTGGAAGATGAAGATCCTGAAATAAATAAAGAGGCTGAAGCTCTTGAAACTGAGGATCAAGTGGTTGATGAGGAGAAACTAAAAAAGGAGGCTTCTAAGCCTGATGTGGAATTGAAAGTCCTCCCTACTCACTTAAAATATGATTTTCTTGAACCTAACAATTTTCTGACAGGCACACATGAGTGAAAGCTGGTGGAGCTGCTGAAAAAGCACAAGAAGGCCATTGGCTGGAGTATAGCTGATATTCAAGGAATCAGTCCAGCCATTTGCATGCACAAAATTCTGTTTGAAGAAAATAACAATCCAGTGGTGCAGCCCTAAGGTAAACTGAACAAAAATTTGGAGGAGGTAGTGCACAAGGAGATCATCAAATTGCTAGATGCGTGAGTGACTTTTCCCATCTCTAATAGCCAGTGGATTAGTCCAGTGCAAGTTGTACCTAAGAAGGGGGATATAACAGTGGTAAAAAATGAAGACAATGAATTGATCCCCACAAGAACAGTCACTGGATGGAGAATGTGCATTGATTATAGAAGGTTGAATGATGCAACAAGGAAGGACCACTTCCTACTCCCCTTTATTGATCAAATGCTCAAGAAAGTGGATGGACAAGGATGCTACTGCTTCTTGGATGGGTACTCAGGCTACAATCAGATACCCATTGACCTAGAAGATATTGAGAAGACCACATTCACTTGCCCGTCATGTATTTTTGCTTATAGGAGGATGCCGTTTTGGTTGTGTAATGTACTTTCCACTTTTCAGAGGTGCATGATGTCTATATCATAATTTAAATGGAAAGTGTCTAGAAGTATTCATGGATGATTTCACCCTCTTTGGTGATAACTTTGAGGACAACTTGAAGAATTTGGAGCTCATGTTGGAACATTGTGAAGCCACGCACTTGGTTCATAACTGGGAGAATTATCACTTTATGGTGAAAGAGGGAATTGTCTTAGGCCACAAGTGAATGCACATAGAATTGAAGTTGATATAGCTAAGGTTGATGTAATTGCTAGGCTCCCTCTACCGACTTCTATGAAGAGCATAAGGAGTTTCCTGGGATATGCTGGGTTCTATAGGAGGTTTATCAAAAACGTTTCCAGCATTGCCAAACCGTTGACTGCATTGCTTGTGAAATATGTCAAGTTTGTTTTCAATGTGGAGTGTTTAAGAGCATTTGAATTGATAAAGGAAAGGCTTATAAGTTCTCCTATTATGGTGACATCTGATTAGAGCCAGTCATTTGAGATAATGTATGATGCAGTGATGTAGCTGTGGGGGGCAGTTCTGGGACAAAGAAAATATAAAATGTTTAGCCCATTTGCTATGCAAGCAGGACATTGATGGGTGCTTAAGTCAACTATACCTCTACTGAGAAAGAGTTCTTTGTTGTGGTCTTTGATTTTGACAAGTTTAGATCATACCTGGTGGGGAGCAAAGTGATTGTACATACACTCAGCCTTGAAGTATCTGTTGAGTAAGAAGGAGTCCAATCCGCGTCTGATGCGGTGGGTGTTGTTGCTCCAAGAGTTTGACTTGGAGATCAAAGATATGAAGGGCACAGAAAATCAAGTTGCTGATCATCTATTTCAACTTGAGAGACCTCCAGTTGAAACAGTTGACGTAAGAGAATAGTTCCCTGATGAGAAAAGTTTCTCCATTGCTATGGCCTTCGAAAGACCGCCTTGGTTTGCTAATGTAGCCAACGTTTTGGCTAATGGATGGTGGCCTAGTGACCTCTCTCGTGATCAAAGAAAGAAGCTTTAAGGTGAGGTAAAAAGTTATTTTTGGAATGACCCTTTCTTGTTTAAACTGTGTGCAGATGGTGTGATTCGAAGGTGTGTGCCTGAAAGAGAGATGGCAAGCATTATTTTTCATTGCCATGATGGAGAAGCTGGAGGACACTATGGTGGAAATCACACTGGAGCAAAGGCCATAGAAGCCGGTTTCTATTGGCCTACTTTTTACAAAGACGCACGGGCGTACGTAGCTGCATTTAGCAAGTGTCAAAGGGCAGGTAACATTAGCAAGAGGGATGAGATTCCACTAAACTCCATTCTGGCATGTAAATTTTTGACGTTTGGGTCATTGATTTCATGAGTCCGTTCCCATCGTCTTATTCATATGAGTATATCCTAGTAGCCGTTGACTACGCCTCTAAATGGGTTGAAGCAATCCTTACTAGGACCAATGATGCTCGGGTGGTGTGTGAGTTCTTACGGAAGAACATCTTTACCCACTTTGGGACACCTCGAGTGATTATCAGTGACAATGGGTCGCACTTTGTGAACAAGCAGTTCACTGCACTATTGTCTAAGTATGCAATCACACACAAAATAACAACCCCGTACCATGCCCAAACTAGTGGGCAAGTTGAAGTGGCTAACCATGAACTTAAACAAATTCTTGAAAAGACGGTTAGTGCTTCCCGTAAGGATTGGTCTCTAAAGTTGGATGAAGCTCTATAGGAATACAGAGCTACGTTCAAAACAACCATATGGACTTCATCATTCAAACTAGTGTATGGAAAATTGTGTCGCTTACATGTTGAGATAGAACATAAAGCTTATTGGGCAATTAAGATGCTTAATCTTGATCATAGTCTTGCAGGTGAACACAGGTTGGTGCGGATGAACGAATTGGAGGAGTTTAGATTGGACGCGTATGAAAATACGCGAATCTTTAAAGAGAACACAAAAAGATGACATGATCGTCTGATTAAGCCAAAAGAGTTTCATGAAGGGAACAAAGTCTTACTATACAATAGTAGACTTAGGTTGTTCCCCGAAAAATTCAAATCAAGATGGATAGGTCCGTATGTGATGAAATATGTCTCACTGTATGTCGCCATTAAAATTCAGGATGAAGAAGAGAATGAAAGCTTTAAGGTGAATGGGCACATGTTGAAACTGTACCTTGTTGGAGGATTTGACAAGCAATCCTCTAGCATCATGATCAAATGAGCCTAAGTGGCGGAGTCAAGCTCACGACTATAACTCAGAACTACTTCTAACCTTTTTTTCTTGCTTTTGCAGAATAGTTAGATAATTGTAGTGTAGGATTATTAGAGTTTAGGAGTTTTGGTACTTGTTTGGACAAGTATAAGCATGAATCTAACACAAAATAAGTACATAATAGAGTTAGGGTGCAACCCATGGGCTAAAAACCAAAAACTCGCCGGAACTTTGAGAAAACTGTGTTGCTGTGCTGCATAGGGCGCCGCTCTAGGCCATGAGGCAGCTTCTGACAAAATGCAAGCTCTCTGAATTGGTGAATTTATATGTATTAAAGTGCTCAGGGAGGTGTAGTCACTATATCCAAATGTATCATACCTATCCCGCAGCCTACATTACAACCAAAATAAATTTCTACTTAATCTTTGACTGAATTATCTCAATTAGTAGATTATTACACTACGGGCAAGTTTATGGTACATTCTCTGTGGCGCATGACTTTTATTTCTGAGAGTGAGTGAATGTTTTCTATCTTGAGTTCATATTTGTTCTTGAATTTTATTGCGTATGGAACTACTCTCTATTGGTTGTGTGAGGGCACACAACTTATGAATGTAAGATAAAGTCTTTGACCTCTGTTCAGAGTAAGTGAACAGGTTGTGAAAAACTCGTGGTGCTTTTGAGTCGAGTCTTGAGGTTAGGATGTTATTACTTGGTGTTTAGACTATTTTTAATATTCTTGGCATGGTGTGTTAGGGAGATTGTTTAATGAAAAGGTCATCTCTAGGTGAAGTACAATTTGATTGCTCGAGGACGAGCAATGGTCTAAGTGTGGGTTATTGATGGTAGGCTAGAAACCCGTATTTTAGCTGCAGTATTGCACTCTAATTACTGCACTTTACGTGTATTTGAGATTAAATGATACTGAAATATACTTATTAGGTATTTTATGCCTTGTAGGAAATGATTCTGAGCTATTTAGGTAATTTGGAGCAAAATCGAACAAGTTGGAGCTTTGAAGTCTGAGTAGAAGCCCAATAAATTAAGTTGGGATCGCGTTCGGGGGTCGAGGACCAAATCCGGATGTCAAAAAGTGAACAAACGAATTTACTTTGAGAAAAAGCCACTACCGTGCTGCATGGGGAGCCGCGAGGTGCGGTGCGGCAGTGCAAAAGTGGTCTATCAAAACACAAGCTCTCTGAATATCTCCACTGCCGCGCCGCATGGGGCGCCGCGCCCAGCGACACGGTTGTGTAAAGATTTCGGCCTTTAAAAAAAGAATTTAATTAAAAATCAGATTTTGAAAAAACTGGAAAGACTACCCCCCCCCCCCCCCACCCCGATTTTCCCCACTTTCCACCATATCTTTCATTCTCTCTCTCAAACCTCTTCTCTCTAACTCACCCCCAAATTCCCCATTCTTCTTCTTCTTCAAAGTTTTTCACCTCCAATTCTCCTACCTCCATCACTCATTAAGGTAAGTTTTCTTTTCTCATCTCTTCTCTTTAGTAGTAATTTAAGGTAGTTTAGTTCATATCTCTAACCCTAGGTAGTTTTTCAATTTTTTATTTTTGGTTAATATTCATCTTTTGACCGAAATTCTTGCATAAACCTGTGGGATTTTCATTGTTCTTATGATTGTGGGTGATTGTTGTTGTGTTTTGACGGTGTTGGAATTAATTTGTGTTGAAGTTTGGTGGGGGTGCCAATGTGGCCAAAAATTAGTGAAGTTTTGTGTAAAATTTGTGCACTTTGTGCTATTGTGAAGATGTGGTGATGTTGTGGTTATGGTGAGTGGTGTTTTTGATGTGGTTGTATGATGATTCTAACCCACTTTGAATTGACATAAGATGGTAAAAAGTATGCCCACAATGTGTTTGTTGAAATGCCTTAGTGACATAAAATTATGTAGTGTTTCTAATTTAGAAGGGAAGTGCTTTGTGGGATGTGATGCTAGATGATAAGTGTGGGGTGGGAGGTCATGTTCGTATATTGTGAAACTTTAACTTGTTAGCCCCCAGTGCTAATTGATTAACCACCCCATGCTAATGTGTTGCTAGGTGCTAAATGGGGTGTCCGATTCATGCTATGTGCTTGTGTAGTGTTGTATTGTATCTTAATTTTGTTAGTAGTGAATTAGACTAACTTCTTATTCTTCTTTAATAATTACTAGTTTAGCTTCTTAATTTTGTCTGTTACATTAGTGTAGTCCGTGGTTATGTTGTTGTAATGTTATGTTAGTGGTCGGGTGGGTTGTTGATTACTCGTGGTGTGCTTTCAATGGGGTAGTCTGAGTCCCCGATATACATTGCACTTGTGAACATGCCAATAATATAAGTGTGGGGTGGTTATCCCATTTGGTCTTGCTTTTGTTTTAAGTGTTGTGGCTAATGTTGTTCATCTTGTGCAGGTACAATGTCTCGCCGTCCTAGCAAACGTTCTAACACAGGTACCTCAGAGGTTGCCTCTAGTAGCCGTCGAGGAGGTAGGCGGGCACCTCCCCCTGCCCTAGTAGAGGAGGAAGAAGAGCGCATTGATCCTGATGCGGATGTAGTACCAGGCTGCAAGTATGGCATTCGGGTTGTGCCAGCTCATGCTAGGATGTGGTACCGGACCTTTGTTCCAGCGGTGAGTCCCGACCCGAAAGTTGGCATTGATGATGGTAAGTTTGCCAGGAAATACTCGGGGATTTACAACAACATCAGATACATGGGTTTTGAAAGCTTGTTCCGTCCTGGTGAGTCGGTGAAAGTGAACACAGTTAAGGAATTTTACGCTAACTGGAAACCTGAGGCCAGTTTAGATGCAGTGTATGAAGTAGAGGTGCGGGGCAAGATGATTCCATTTTCTTCCCGGGTAATAAATAAAATCATGGGATTCACGGAGCATTCACATAAGTTGTTCTTGAGGTTGCTGCATTGGCCCCCCTATCCTGATATTAGATGCCAACTGCGTGGCGCAGGGTCTCTTGCCACATGGACGCGAGATGCTAATGAGTTCCACAAGGATATGAAAAAGTGCCATTTCCAGCGTCCCGCCAGAGTCATTCTCCAGTTGAAAGTGTGTCTCATTTATGCTATCTTGACTCGGATGAAGTTTGATCTGGGTAAGATTATGCTTGAGCACACGTCTCGAGTACGACCACTTGGGGCCCGCCGCCTGTATTTCCTGAGTATGATCACGCGGCTTCTGAGGACCCACCATGTGGAAGAGGCATTCCATTATGATAGGACGATTTCGGTTTTGCAGCCTCTTAAGCCTTTTGATGTCACAGCTAGG